GGGACCACTAACCGAAGCGTAAAGCAGAGAAAACAGTGGGTAATACCTATTGGGCCATAGAACCCTAATTGCCAGTACATTACTACTATTCCAGGGAAGGTAAGAGATGAAGGTGTATCACTTCTAGCCGTGGTGCTAGGAAGAGGTGATTTTTTACCATCTTTTTGAGAAATACTTAAATAACAATAAAGATTGCAATTATATATTTGTACCCAGGGGTCTTGTACCGGCTGGCTAGCTAAGCCGTAAGGCCTCGCGGGACCACTAACCGAAGCATAATGCAGAGAAAAAAGGGGGTAATACCTATTGGGCCCTAGAACCCTAATTGCCGGTACACTATTACTATTCCAGGGAAGGTAAGAGATGGATAACTACGTGAGCAGGTGTACGTACCTGGTAGTATGGTATTGAACCTGACAATCCGTATAGGTTTTTTAGTAGTAACTGTAACCTGAATGGATAAAATCGTATGGCATAAGGAAATATGGCATAGTCCAAGCTTATCTTAAAACATACAGTATATGTGAAAGTAAAGTGCCGTGATATGTAAATATTAAACATCATATCCATACTGGTTAAATATGTATCAATCTTAACCCATTATGTGTATGTGAACCATATTACCAGTTACGTATATACAGATGCGTGTGCTACTGTGTAATAATAGGTGTATTTATAACAGATATTGATATACTGCTTGCTATGTGAATTGTTGTATGCCTTATTGAATGGCAAGTGAACATGGAGTTGCAAAATGCAAGTGCACTGGAGATCTGCTGAGTGCCCTATAGGTAGCAGTGTAGTTGATACTGATTGGTATGTGAAATGTTGTTTGTCTGTTGACCTATAGGGGTCAGTGTTTTGGTGTTTGTAAAACCCCATGAAAATTGTCAATGTACTTGACAGACCTGTAGGTGGCAGTGTTGATAGAACCACTGTTGGTCTTGATGTGAAATGTAAATTATTGTGAATTAAACCTGAAGTTGAGCCTGTGTTGGAGTTTAATTCATGGTTTATGGTTATGTTTAAAACAATCTTATGTGTAATTTATATTGGCTAGTAATTGTATATGACATGTGAAGACAGTTTTGCTGTTGACCAGTAGGGGTCAGAAATGCTGATTGTATGGTAAAATACCCTTTAACCCCTGAAGGATACATGACATGTGTGACATATCATTTATTCCAGAGTTTGGTCCTTAAGGGGTTAATCCAAATGCAAGGTTAACGTGAGATTTTGAGAGTGACCTGTAGGGCTCAGTGTGGTTTATGTGAAACATTGTTCGTGAGCTATTCCCCAGCATTATAGTTGTGTGACAGGGAAACAAACAGTGCCCGTTTGACAATATACAATATGTGAACATAATAGCTTAATAACAGTCATTGTAACAAACCAAAGTTCTGTTCATGGGTTGTAAATGCACGAAGCGTGTGTGTAGTACAACAGTAAATGCATGAACTAGTTCCCGTTTGGTAGAAAATTGCACGAACCGTGAGCCTGGTATGTCAGGGAAACAAAACGAAACGAGCAGTGAGAATCGAAATGCACGCACAGAATTGCCTAGTATGTTTAGGCAATTGAAACAGAATGTGTTCCCGTTTGGGAGTATGCTAATGCTCGAAATGAGCCAGTGACAGATATAAACAAGTGAATTTAAATGAATGATATGCATGAACATCCAATGGTTTTAGGACAGATTTAGACAAAATGCAGCCGTAAAGTGAGGACCTGACCCATGCATGGTGCCGTGGGACTGATGCCTGGCGTAACGGGTAGGTCGACTTACGGTTTGTGAGTCACTTGGACACCACCCACAGCGATAGATTGAAGAAAGAAGGTGGTAGGCCGGAAAAGCCTGTGGCTGGATTCCTGACACAGCTCAGCTTAGAAAACCTCATGGTGTAATCAGGTAAAATGGCGTCTGGATGACCCGGAAGTGGAAATCATTCTGATGCTGACCTCAAGCGATATGAGTCAGGTAAGGGGTGTCCCTTATATAGGGGAGTGAATTAATTTAAGCCCCTCCCACAAATACAGGCCAAATGGCCTTAAAACATATATATATATATATATATATATATATATATACACAAACACACAATTTATTATTGTATATTTCTTTTTTTTTTTAAATTGGTCCTTTCAGGGGCAATATTTGTATTTTTTATTAAGTATGCATACTTAAATGCAGGCACAGACAGTCTCACAGACACAAGCACACAGGCTCACAGACAGACAAGCTCACTGACAAGAAACACAAAATCACTGATACACATAAATAGGCTCACTGACAATCTCACTGACACACAATCAAGATTACTACTACACACACAAACTTAGTATGATGGTACTCACCATCACTGGGGATGGAAGGCAGACACTATGTGTGGGCCCCCAGATTCCTGTTGTGTTTTTGCACCCTGTGCCTAGTATTGTTGCAGGGTTTTCTGAATGTATTGATTGACTGTGACTTTTCCGCTCCCCCTTTTTCCTGTCCTATTGTTTCCCCAGCAGGGAAGCTGCTGTAGCTAATGAAGGGAGACTGAGTGCTCTATTTGGCCACACCAGCCCCCAGCACTCCCTCCTGAATTCCATCGGACTTTAACAAGCTGTCACAGACTAAGGGGAAACTAATTATTTTGTGCCAGGACAAGTAGATTATTGTTTTTGCATTTTTCACACACAAATGACAGTTCCGCTGATGATATTCATATGATACATTTAATTGTTTTGAAAAACTAATATTTGTGTTCAGTGATGTCTCCCGAGTAAAACAGTACCCCCCATGTACAGGTTTTATGGTGTTTTCAAAAGTTACAGAATCTAACACTTGCATTTCAGGCTTTTCATTGGTTACTTTGCATTTGAGACCATATGGTAGCCAGGAATGAGATTTACCCCCATGATGGCATACCATTTGCAAAACTAGACAACCCAAAATATTGCAAATAGGGTATGCACATGTTTTTTTTAGTAGCCATTAAATCACAAACAGTAGCCAAAATTAGCGTTCAAATTAGTTTTTTGCATTTTTCACACACAAACAAATATAAACGCTAACTTTGGCCAGTGCTTGTGACTAAGTTGCTACTAAAAAAGACTGGGCATACACCATTTGTAATACCTTCGGTTGTCTAATTTTGTAAATGATATGCTATTATGGGGGTAATTTTTATTCTTGGGCTACCATATGGTCTCAAAGGGAACATAACTAGTCTGGCAACTTTCAATGTGTATAAACTGAAAAATGTAATGTGATGTATTTAGCCCTGTAACTTTTCAAAACACCATAAAACCTATAAATGGGGGATACTGTTTTACTTGTGAGACATTGCTGAACACAAATATGTGCACTTTATTGCAGTAACAGCTAACAGTATTATGAGATTCACAGTTAAAAGGCCACGCAGAACTAAATAAAATCAACATTTCTTAATTTCTCACATTGTTTTATATTTTATTCATACTGAATTATGTTTAATAGATAAATATTTGTGACATGAAAGCCCTGTTTCTCCTGAACAAAATAATACATAAAATGTGTCGGTGCATTTAATATGAAAGAGGTGAATTACGGTTGAACAGATATATAGCGCAAATTCAATTGTTTTGATCAGAACTTGTACAACTGCCTCAGTCTTTAAGGGGTTAAAGATGTAAAAATGTTTAATGTAAAGTTATTATTTTATACATACAGATTTTTACAAGAAATTGATTGGTCCCATGGTCTGGAAGCCATATCAGACTATATGAAAATCTTTAAACATCGTCTTCTCTAACATTGATGGAAGGAATGAATTGAAATTTTGCACATGTCCTTGGCAAGGTCTCCGATATGATTGATCAAAGAATGTTAATACCAAACTCCATTGTGCAATGTCATGCAATTCTTACATTTGTATTTCCACCACTTTGAATCTAAGTGTGTATTAAATTCATGATTACATAACTGCATGAGTGCCAGAGGAAATGGTAACAGTGTGGCAGCCATTTCGAAATTTAAACAAAATGTAAAACGAATGACATTCTAGAATTGTACAGGTTTATGGCGAGCTGGTGAATATGAACTATGCTGTTCCTTTGCCACATATTGTGGAAGCCATTTTGGTTTCGTGGGTTCTTTTTTAAATCTACAAAAATCTTCTGTGATGTTCGTTATGAAACTAATAACAAATATATTTGTTGAACTATGTTATGATCTGTATTCACATTTGTTTAAAGGACCACTCTAGGCACCCAGACCACTTCAGCTGAACGAAGTGGTCTGGGTGCCAGGTCCAGCTAGGGTTAACCCATTGTTTTATAAACATAGCAGTTTCAGAGAATGGGTTAAGCCTTCCCCCAAAGCCTCTAGCGGCTGTCTCATTGACAGCCGCTAGAGGCGCTTGCGTGATTCTCACTGTGACGGGGCGGAACGGAGGAGGATCGGAGGCAGAGAGCTCCCTGCCCAGCACTGGAAAAAGGTAAGTTTTACCCCTTTTCACCTTTCCAGAGCCGGGCGGGAGGGGGTCCCCTCCGAGTATGTTTTCCTGGCACTATAGTGGTCTTTTAAGAAAAGTCTGTCATGTAGTAAAGGACCAGTTTTGGTTGACTGAAAATATTAAATAGACATGTCAAAATAACCACCAAATGCCAGTTCTTGAATATGCTACATATGTATTTCCTCACCTGCTATACCCATCTTCCACCAATTGCCCAAACTTTGTAAGTCCCTTTTGTTTCCATCAGGTAGGCCAATAGTATCAAGCGTAGGTTCTCTAATTGAAAAACTGTCAGAATTAATGGATCGTCTCTTACAGCCTTTGCCTACTCATCTTTTTAGCTGTATAAGAGACACCAAACAAATCTTTAACATTTTGGCGGAATTTAATATGAGTAGGGACCTCCAAGCTATACATGTAAAGATCTTTTAACCTTTCCTGGTAAGTTTTATCCTGTAATCCATGAACCAGTTTAGTAGCCCATTTCTGAAAGTATCAATATCCTTCTGGAGATACGGTCTCCAGTACTGTGTACAATACTCAAAGTGAGGTCTCACCAGTGTTCTGTACAGTTGCATGAGCACTTCCCTCTTTCTACTGCTAATACCTCTCCCTATACAACCAAGCATTCTGCTAGCATTTCCTGTTGCTCTATTACATTGTCTGCCTACCTTTAAGTCATCAGAAATAATCACCCCTAAATCCTTTTCCCTTTAGATATTGAGGTTAGGACGCTATCAAATATTCTGTACTCTGCCCTTGGGTTTTTACGTTCCAGAATGCAGTATCTTGTATTTATCCACATTAAATGTCAGTTGCCACAGCTGTGACCATTTTTTTAGTTTTCTAAATCAATTGCCATTTGGCTTATCCCTTCTAAAACATCAACGCTTTTATATATCTTTGTATCATCATCAAAAAGACATACCTTACCATCAAGACCCTCTGCGATATCACTAATAAAAATATTAAAGATAATGGATCCAAGTATAGATCCCTAAGGTACCTGGCTGCAGGGCCGGACTAGGAAGAAAATTCGGCCCAGGCATTTTTAGATGGGATACCAAGAGACAAAAAGAGTATTGTGCAGTGTGTGTGTGAGGGTGGTGTGTGTGTGTGTTATGGGTGTACTGTGTGTGCAAGAGGAGTGCAGTGTGTGTGTGAGGGTGGTGTGTGTGTGTGTTATGGGTGTACTGTGTGTGCAAGAGGAGTGCAGTGCGTGTGTTTGTGAGGGTGCTGTGTGTGAGGGGTGCCATGTGTGTGTGCTGTTTCTGGGTGCTGTGAGTGTCAGGGGTGTAGTGTGTGTGTGTGAGGGTGCTGTGAGTGTCAGGGATGTAGTGTGTGTGTGTGAGGGTGCTGTGAGTGTCAGGGGTGCAGCGTATGTGAGTGAGGGTGCTGTGATTGTCAGGGGTGCAGCGTATGTGAGTGAGGGTGCTGTGATTGTCAGGGGTGCAGTGTGTGTGAGAGTAAGGCTGCTGTGAGTGTCAGGGGTGCAGTGTGTGTGTGTGAGAGTAAGGGTGTTGTGAGTGTCAGGGGTGCAGTGTGTGTGTGTGTTAGGGTTGTAGAATGTGTGCAAGAGGAGTGCAGTGTGAGGGTGCTGTGTTGGTAAGGGTGCTGTGTGTGAGGGGTGCAGTGTGTGTGTGTGTTGTGCCTGAGTGAGGGTGCTATGTGCGTGCGAGGGTGCAGTGTGTTTGTGTGAGTGAGGGTGCTGTGTCAGGGGTGCAGTGTGTGCGCACGTGTGTGTGAGTGAGGGTGCTGTTAGTGTCAGGGGTGCAGAAACTCTGCTGTATGGATTTTATATGTCTATATTTATATTTTTATATAATAAATATCTAAAAGACAAAACTTTATTGCTTCCAATACAATCCTTATTTTATATTGTATTCTCAATTATTTATATATGTTAAATATAGGATCTCTTACACTAACTATATAAAATCATAGCTAAGATATCTGTATGGTTAGTCCTGCTAATTTCTATGCTTTAAGACGTTATAGTAGTAAATAAGGGAACCAGCCGCGGTTACACTGTGAGTGTCAGGGGTGCAGTGTGTGTGCTTGTGAGTGAGGGTGCTGTGAGTGTCAGGGGTGCAGGGTGTGTGTGAGTGAGGGTGCTTACCTTCCCTTCTTACCTTCAGCCTGGGAGGGGGAATCGTGCTGCTGCCATCCCTGGTGGTGCTAGTGGTGAGTGAACTTTAGCCTGTGGGGCAAGGGATTACTCTTGCAAGATCTGGAGCGTTGCAATGGCAATGCAAGAGGAACCCGGTGGAGCTGCAAGTTCCTCTCCTGGCTGTCTCCCACCCTCTCTTGCCGCCTCCGGCCAGAATATACTACATGTGGGCCGGTGAGGGGAGATTTTTGATCTCCCCACCAGCCGGCCATGGAATGTAGCAGGGCTGACGCTCGCATAGTGCCAGCCCTGCATAGACTGGCAGGGGAGATCCTGTGATCTCCCCTGCCGGCCCATAGCCATCGCGACCCACCGGGCATTTGCCCGTTGTGCCCGATGGTCAGTCTGGGCCTGCCCTGCTGGTAACAAGACCTGACTTTGACTACAACCCTCTGTTGCCTGTCATTCAGCCACTCCCTAAACCATTTAATAATATTGGAATCCAAAATTAAAGATTGTAGTTTATTGATAAGCTTTCTATGTGCAACAGTGTTGTGACAAAGTGCCCTTCGCCACTTGGTCCTGGAGAGGCCTACTTACCAGCCTCCTCCCCTGTGACTATGACTGTTTCATGTATTTGGCTTTAAAGCCCCTAGTCTACCTTCAGACAGACTATGTATGTAGGCTGCTTTATTTATCTTATGTTTTAGTCACCCTGTACCCATTATAGGTGCAGGGTGTACCCATTATAGGTGCAGGGTGTGTGTAATGTAATTGTTTATGGTGTGTGTGTGTACTGTGAAATGTATTGCCTGCTCTCCTGTACTGCTGAGGTTTGCTACCAACTAGGTGGATTTGGCTATGGAGCTTGTCTAGTACCCTCTTTTGGTAGCAACAGCAATATACACTACCTGAATAGCAAGACTGGTTCATTTGCATATTCGGGTAGATTTGCATATTGCTAATTCTGCAGACACATGAGATATTTTCTGTTAAATATTGTCTCCCCCACCCCTTTAAAAATGTGCCATTGTGTTGTGATAAGTCACAGTGTGTTGCCTGCTGTGGTTTGACTGTTTGTGATTTTATTGAGTTTTCACAGCAATGTTAATGTTGTTACCCTATGGGCTGGTCCCAAGGGAAATAAAGGATTAGACAGTTCTTTTTGATCCCTCTAAACATAGCCTTGTCTCATTATTGGAGGGAGCTGTTATAATCACACTGGGGATTGCTGTGTTCTGCATGCTCCCCTGAGCTTGAATCACTTAGCTCTTTTAAGAGCTTGTTCCTGACACGCTCTCTTTGGAGGAGGGGTCTTCACCACACAGACCTGGATGCTGGAGGTTCATACAGGGTGGAAGGAAGAGTTCTTTCCCACACAGTCCTGGAGGACAGAAGCTGATCCAGGGTGGAAGGAAGACGGCCAGACTCCAGTCAAGATACTGCGGTTGCGGAGTCTGCGGTGGTTGTGGTGTCTGCTGCAGTGCTTTGAGTCCTCAGGAAGCGCTAGGAGCATCCGTCAACGGAGGGTACTCAGTTGGAGTACAAGGAGCTCCGTTACAAGTGTGAAAAGCCTTACTGAAATCTAGATAAGAAATGTCTACTGCACCACCCTGATCTATTATTTTAGTTACCCAATCAAAAAAGTCAATCAGATTAGTTTGGCATGACCTCCCTGAAGTAAACAAATGTTGTCTTATCTTGAAATCAATATGATTTTAGCTATATAACAATCCTATCTTTTAACATGGTTTCCATCACTTTCCCCACTGAAGTAAGGCTTACTGGCCTATAGTTGCCTGACTCCTCCCTACTACCTTTTTTTTAAATTGGCTCAACATTTGCTAATTTCCAATCTTCTGGGACTACTCCTGTTAACAACGATTGGTGAAATAAATCCCTTAGTGGTTTTGCTAGTACACCGCTAAGCTTTTTTTAATAACTTTGGGTGGATTCCATCATTACTTTTGACAGTTGAAATAGAACCTCTTCCCATGTAACAAACAACTAATTTGAACTTTTTCCTAACTGAGGCCCCTTTCCTTCATTTTCATCTGTAAATACTGAACAAAAATATTAATTGAGACAGTCAGCTAGATCTTTATCCTCTTCTACATACCTTCCTTATTTTGGTTTTAATGTAACTGTAATGGAGCTCCCTACACCCAGACTGGGTACCTCTGCCAAAGGACCACTTGGTAGCTGGAACAGGGGACAAACCGCAGCACTTCTGCCCGCAGTCACCGTGACTAGACTGGGGCCCTGGAACCGCTCCTTCCTGGAGCCAAATGGGAAATTAAATATAGTCCTTACAAGGACTTTCCCCGTTGAATCCCCTGCAGACACAGGAGAAAATCTTCTCTACCTCTAATAACAGGATGACACACCGTTTTGGAATGTAAGATGGAATAGAATTTTAATGGATGCACAGTGGCCTTTTTTGCAAGGTTCCCAACAAGGGTGATACCCAGGTGGACCTTGTTGGGCACAGGAACACAAAGTTATACACCAATCACAATAGAGTTACAATCTAAGATACTCCCACACATAATACAATAAGCCCTCCCTTTACTTAGGAGATAATAAACTCAATTATCTCCAAACACAAAAACACACATTTTTACAAAACCCCACAATATCCCCACAAATATTACATCCCCTGATAGCCCTGATCTGGGTGACCAACATAACCAAAAATCACCCAGATCAGATCAGATCAGGGATTCAGAAATTCTATGGAAGTCCTATTTTGACTCGCCGCAGGCATGGTCCCATGACCAAAACAGTTCCAGAGAATCAGAACTTGTGGCCGGTCTAGTTTGGTAGTTTGCAAATAACGAACAAAGTCAATAGT